AATAAGAAACTAAATTTCGATGATTATACTAGCATTTATTTCGCAAGTATTGATTCTAGGCATTGTCAATATGTTTTTTCAAAACTTAGAATGGATGTAAAATTAATGACTTTTGATGATGGTACAGCAAATATTGTTAAAAATAGTATCTATTCTTATGATAAGTCAAATATTTTGAAAAAAATAATTATGTATCTTGTGGGTGTTAAGCATTCTATTGGCTCATTAAGGAAGAGGTCGATAAGGCACTATACAATTTATAACAACATAGATAATGTATTTACTAATTTGAGTTTTATAGAGTTGATGCCTTCGACTATTTTACTTAATGATATAAGGGGAAAGGAAAAAAATATATTTTTAGGACAACCCATTAAAGAGCTATTTGATGGTAATGAAAGTTTTGATTTAAATTTTATGCTGGAAAAATATAATATTGAAGATTATTTCCCTCACCCTAGAGAGGGCGAGGGAAATATTAGGAATGTTAATATTGTTAAAACGAATTTAGTATTTGAAGATTATATATTCAATATTTTTGACCAGAATTTTAGTAAAATAAATGTTTATACTTTTATTAGTAGCGCAGCATTAAATATTGTGAATATCAATGGGGTCGAAGTTAATTTTATGTTTAATTCTTTTTTAATGGAAAAATATAGTGAAATTTATAATTTGGCAAAGAAATTAGGGGCTAATTTGGTAAATCTGGATAATCATGAGTGATTTTTTTTTAATGAATGATATAATGTATTCTAAGATTTTATCAAGAATATATTGTTTATAAAAGGCTAGATTAGATGAAGTTCTATGCAAATAACTTTTTTTTTAGTGCATTTTTATTAATTTTTATATTTATTTTTGTTTTGACTTTTGATTTGAAGTTTGACTTGGTAGGCTTTTCTTTTTTAATAAATTGTTTTTTAACATGTTTCTTGATTGCATTGTCATTACAGAAAATTATTAGTACAATTTTATTTTATTATATTTTTAATTTAATTTTTTTAATAACTATTCCATGGGTTCAATATTCTAATAACATTATTATATGGTCAAAAATATCCTTTATTGAGTCTGATTTTTTAATTGCAAACTTTGTGATATTTTTAACTAGTGTTTTTGTTTTTTTAATATATTTTTTTATCCCTAATTTTAAATTTTCAGTACAAAATATTGTCTTAAAACGTCCAAATTTTTTGATTAGTTGTATTGTTTGTATTGTTTGCTTTATGCTGGTTTTGTATTCCTTAAATTTTAATATATTGAGAGTTTTTTTTCGAGGTCTTTCTGATGATGATACTGATTACTCTTTAAACCCTTTATTGGCTATTGTTGTTTATTTGGCGAGATTTATTCCAGCTTTTTTATTTTTAAGATTTACTTTTAATGGCGAAAAACATCAGAAAATTATATTTTTTATTTTTACTTTATTATGTGCTTTTCCTACGGGAATAACTAGGTTTATGGTCGCATATATCTACTTGCCAATTTTATTAGCTTATTTTCCCAAGTTTAAAAAATCTAAAGATATAACTTTTGTTATGTTCCTTTCTATATTTATGATTTTTCCATTTTTAAATCAATTTAGATATTATTCATCTAATGCTAGTATTAATTTTTTGCCTGATTTAAATTTTGTTAATGAGGCTCATTTTGATGCTTATCAAAATCTAATGGAAGTGATAAGGTTTGATTTCATCACTTTTGGTCACCAACTTTTAGGTGTTTTTCTATTTTTTGTACCAAGGAATTTTTGGCCAGAAAAACCAGTTGGAAGCGGTTATTTTTTAGCAGAGGAATATGGTTATAGATTTAATAATATTTCTATGCCATTTCTAGGTGAAGGCTTTGTTAATTTTGGATATTTTGGTTTTTTGATATTTCCTTTTGTGCTAGCAGTATTTATGAAGCTAATAGATTCTGCATATTTAACAAGATATAATGTTTCTGATAATAATTTTTATATTATTAAAGGAGTTTTTTATTGCTCTGCTTTATTTTTTATGATGCGGGGAGATTTATTATCATCCTTTAGTTTTATGTTGGCAGGTGTTTTTGCTATTAAAATTTCAGAGAAAATATAGAAGCTTATGATTTATTGGAATAAATAATGAAAATTTTGGTAGATGCATCTATAATATCTATTGGTGGAGGGGTACAAGTTGCTTTATCCGTAATAGAGAATATTGCTAATGATAATGACTTTGATGTTATTTGTGTAACAAATCCTGAAATAGATCGACAATTATCTGAAAATACGAAATCTAAGTTTAAGCATTATTATGTTGAAGATATAGTTCCTATATATTCGAAGTTTAAACAAGGTGGCCGGTTGTCATTAATTGAGAAGAAACATAACCCTGATTTTGTATTTGTGGTTTTTGGACCAGCATATTGGAAACCTAAGGCAAAGACATTACAAGGTTTTGCATTGGGAAAAATGTTATATCAGAAAGAATTAAAAGTAGGTTTTTTTGAAAAGCTTTTGAATTCAATAAAAGCACAAATTTTTAAATGGTCAAATAGCTATTTGCTTGTTGAAACTGAATTAGTTAAAAAGAAGTTAGCAAAATATTTAAATTATGTTGATGGTAAAATTTTTGTCATTGGAAATTCGTATAGCCCAAATTTCAAAAAAAATATTATTGAATATGAAACTAAACTTTTCCCTGCAAATGATGTTTTTCAGATACTTATCCCAGGAAGTTATTATCCTCATAAGAATTTAGAACGAATTATTTTTTCCTTAAAAAAATTAAAAGTACATTTTAGTGAAGGGCATATTCAACATTTAAAGTTAGTATTTACTATTCCAGAGCAATCTGAAGGTTGGAATAAATTATTTGGTCTTGCTCAAGAGAATGGGGTTGAAGGGCTTATTGAAACAGTGGGATTTGTAGAAAATGCAAGGTTTGCAGAACTATACTTGAAAAGTAACGCTATAATGTGTGCTAGTCTTGTGGAGTCTTCTACAGCAGTATTCCCAGAAGCATTTCTAGCAAATAGGCCATTATTAGTAAGTGATCGTCCCTTTGCGAGAGAATTATGTGAAAATGCGGCAGTATATTTTGACCCTCTTGATGAAATAAGTATTGCAGATGCAATTATTCAACTTTTATCCAATGAATCTTTACAAAGATCATTAGTAGAAAATGGCAAAAATGTTCTTTTGAAAAATTATCCTTCTGCGGATGAGAAATGGGCTTTACAGAAAGATTTAATCTTAAAATTGAATGGAAAATAGTGACTAAATATGTTTGAAAATAAAGTTTTATTACTTACAGGTGGTACAGGATCATTCGGCAATGCTGTGCTAAAGCGTTTTTTAGACAGTGATTTTAAAGAGATCCGTATCTTTAGTCGCGATGAAAAAAAACAAGATGATATGCGTAAAAAGTACCAATCATCTAAGCTTAAGTTTTACATTGGCGATGTCCGTGATTTTAATTCAGTTCTCAACGTAACACGTGGTGTGGATTATATTTTTCATGCGGCTGCACTCAAGCAAGTTCCTTCATGTGAGTTCTATCCTTTAGAAGCCGTTAAAACGAATGTTTTAGGTACAGAAAATTTACTCGAAGCCGCAATTCAAAATAAAGTTTCTCGTGTGGTGTGCTTAAGTACAGATAAAGCTGTTTATCCAATCAATGCTATGGGGATTTCCAAAGCAATGATGGAGAAAGTAATGGTTGCAAAATCACGTAATCTTGAGGGAACAGGGACCGTCATTTGTGGTACTCGTTATGGCAATGTGATGGCGTCTCGAGGTTCAGTTATTCCATTATTTGTCGACCAGATACGAGCAGAGAAACCAATTACGATTACAGATCCACATATGACTCGCTTCATGATGACACTTGAAGATGCGGTTGATCTTGTGCTGTATGCTTTTAATCATGGTCAAAATGGTGATATTTTCGTACAAAAAGCACCAGCAGCAACGATTGATACACTAGCACGTGCAATCACACAAATGCTTGATAAGGAAGACCACCAAATCAATGTGATTGGTACTCGTCATGGTGAAAAAGCTTTCGAAGCACTTCTGAGTCGAGAAGAAAAAGCATGTGCTGAAGACCTTGGAGATTACTTTAGAGTCCCAGCAGATCAGCGTGATCTAAACTATGAAAAATATATTGAGGACGGCAATACTAAAGTCGTCGAGTATGAAGATTATAACTCACACAATACAACACGTTTAGATGTTGAAGGTATGAAAAAATTATTGCTTAAACTTGAATTTATCCGTGATTTAACAAACGGTATTTACAAATCACCTGAGGTTTAAAATGAAAGTTTTGATTACTGGTGCAAATGGTTTTGTTGCGAAAAATTTGATTCAGTATTTATCTGAAAAAGAAAATATTGAAATATTGAAATATTATCGCGATTCAACTGAGCAAGAGTTAGAGCAATTAGTTTTAGATGCTGAATGGATTATACATTTAGCTGGTGTAAATCGACCTAAAAACGATGGTGAATTTATAGAAGGGAATGTTTCACTTACTGAAAAAATTTGTGACATTCTACGAGAAAATAAGAAAAAAACACCAATTATATTATCTTCTTCTATTCAGGCAGAAAGAGATAATGTCTATGGTCAAAGCAAACTTGGTGGCGAACAAGCATTGACCAAATTAAATCAAGAAAATGAGAATCCAATTTACATTTCTAGAATGGTCAATATTTTTGGTAAATGGTCTAAACCGAACTATAACTCAGCAGTTGCAACTTTTTGTTATAACATTGCAAATGATTTACCTATACAAATCAATGATCCAAATGCATTGATTCGATTGGTATATATTGATGATGTCGTTGAAACGATTTGGAATATTTTAAATCAAAAATATCCAGCAAATGAGCCATTTGAAATTAAACCTGAATATCAAATTACAGTAGGACGACTTGCTGAAACAATTTATGGATTTAAAGGTTCAAGAGAGTCTTTGATTACGGATCGAGTAGGTGTAGGTTTAACTCGTGCTTTGTATTCAACATACTTAAGTTTTTTTAGTCCTAAGCAGTTTGATTATACCGTAACGAAATATGGTGATGATCGTGGTGTATTTGTTGAAATGTTGAAAACTCCTGACGCAGGGCAATTTTCATATTTTACAGCTCATCCAGGCATTACTCGTGGTGGGCATTATCACCATACCAAGACGGAAAAATTTTTGGTCATTAAAGGGCAGGCCTTATTTAAGTTTAAGCATGTGATTACGGGTGAATTTTATCAATTAGAAACCTCTGGTGAAGAGCCTAGAATCGTCGAAACAGTACCAGGTTGGACACATGATATTACCAATATTGGTGATGATGAAATGGTGGTAATGTTATGGGCAAATGAAATATTTGACCGTTCAAAACCTGATACATATGCAATGCCATTATCTAATTAAAGAGCTATTTTGTGAAAAAATTAAAATTAATGACAGTCGTGGGGACTCGCCCAGAAATTATTCGTTTATCTCGTGTGATGGCCGTCTGTGACAAATATTTTGATCACGTTATTGTACATACAGGTCAAAATTATGATTATGAATTAAATGAAATTTTCTTTACGGACTTAGGTATACGTAAGCCAGATCATTTTTTAAATGCAGCAGGGGCTACTGGGGCAGAAACAATCGGTAATGTTATTATTGCAGTAGATAAGGTCTTAGAGGAGACTCAACCTGATGCATTATTAGTATTAGGTGATACCAATAGTTGTACAGCCGTTATTCCAGCAAAGCGTCGTAAAATTCCAACATTCCATATGGAAGCGGGGAACCGTTGTTTTGATATGCGAGTGCCTGAAGAGATTAATAGACGTATTGTAGATCATACTGCTGATATTAATTTGACTTATAGCACGATTGCTCGTGATTATTTGCTTGCAGAGGGTTTGCCCGCTGATCTTGTGATCAAAACAGGTAGTCCAATGTTTGAAGTATTAACTTATTATAAAGATAAGATCAAAGCTTCAAATGTGCTAGAACTATTAAAGTTGAAAGAGCACGAATATTTTATTGTGAGTGCGCATCGTGAAGAAAATATCAACTCAGATCAAAATTTCTTAGATTTGGTTGAAATGTTAAATGCCGTGGCGGAAAAATATAACTATCCTGTGATTGTTTCCACTCATCCTAGAACACGTAAACGTATCGAACAAATGGGGGTATCTTTTCATCCGTTGGTACAATTGTTAAAGCCATTGGGTTTTAGTGACTACAATAAATTGCAACTTTCTGCCAAGGCTGCACTTTCTGATAGTGGTACGATCAATGAAGAGTCATCTATTCTTAATTTTCCAGCATTAAATTTACGTCAAGCTCATGAAAGACCTGAAGGTATGGAAGAGGCAGCGGTCATGATGGTTGGCTTAACTTCTGAACGTATTTTGCAAGGGTTGCAGATTTTAGAATACCAAGCTAGAGGGGACGAAAGAACGCTCCGTTTAGTCGAAGATTACAGTATGCCAAATGTTTCAGAAAAAATAGCGCGCATTATCTTAAGTTATACAGACTATGTTAATCGTGTAATTTGGAAAAAATATTAAGGCAATTGGATAATGAAAAAGACATACTTAATAACGGAATATTATCATTCAAATCAAAATACTACAGGATATCTATTTCATAAGTTGTATATCCATTTGAAAAAGGTATATGGTTCTGAATTAAGTTTGATCATCAAAGAAGATAAAAATAATGATGTTATTGATCTTGAAAGCATCATTGTTAAAGATTCAAGTTTAAATAAGAAGAGTCTGATTCAAAGATTGTTTTTTGAATTGCTCATTTCTTTTCGTTTTTTTATTAAAATAATAAAAAATGTTAAGAAACAAGATCTTGTATTTACAGGGACGACACCTATTTTTTTACTAATTGTCATTTATTTTGCAAAAAAAATGATAGGTTTTAAATGGGTGTTACTTGTTCATGATGTATTTCCTGAAAATTTAGTAGCTGCTAAAGTTTTGAAAAAAGAAAACTTCCTTTATAAGATTTTAAAAAAAGTTTTTGATGTTTTTTATGCAGCCCCTGAAAAGTTGATTGTGATTGGGCAAGATATGAAAAATTTAGTCGATACAAAAACAAATCAGAATAATAGTATTGTGATCCAAAATTGGATTGATGAAAATGATATTGAAGTAGAAGAAAAAAGCTCAAATGAGATATTGAAAAAATTAAACTGGGAAAATGAGTCACCAATATTTCAATTTTTTGGTAATATTGGTCGTGTGCAAGGTGTTAGTAATATTATTGAAGCGATTAAATTGATTGAACCTTCTAAAAGACCTAAATTTTTATTTATGGGGGATGGAGCATATGTCGAACAACTTAATCACGCAATAGAAACATTAAACGATCCAAATATACAATATATTGGACCTGTACAGCAAAATGCGAAATCAAAGGGATTAAATGCTGGAGATATTGCTATCGTAACTTTAGCAGAGGGAATGTTGGGGTTAGGGGTGCCAAGCAAAGCGTATTTTTCAATGGCGGCTGATAAGCCTTTATTAGCAATTATGGATGAGTATTCTGAAGTTGCTTGTATGATCAGAGAACATCAAATTGGTTGGGTTGTGCCACCTGAAAACCCTAGACTTTTAGCAAACGCTATACTAGAAATCATAGCAAGCACTTCAACAGATAATATACTATCGCCTAGAAATGTTTTGATGAATCATTATTCTGAGCCAGTAGCAATGAAAAAAATAGTAGAGGTCCTACAAGATGTCTCTAATATTAAATAAGAAATTGAGGTTTTATTGTAATGAAAAGACTTGTTGATATCATTATTGCGTCAATAGCACTTTTATTACTGTCGCCTATTTTTCTTTTAGTCGCTTATAAGGTGCGTAAAAACCTAGGTTCTCCTATCTTTTTTTATCAAGAGCGCCCAGGGAAAGACTGTAAACATTTTAGAATGATTAAATTTCGTTCTATGAAAGATGCATTTGATAAAGATGGGCAACCCTTACCCGATGATCAAAGGATTACGCCTTTTGGACAAAAATTGCGTTCAACTAGTCTAGATGAAATGCCTCAGCTCATTAATGTTCTAAAGGGTGATATGAGCATCGTTGGACCACGGCCACAGCTTCCTGAATTCGTTGAACACTATACTCTACATCAATTGCGTCGCCATAATGTTAAACCTGGCATGACGGGTCTTGCCCAAGTGAGTGGCCGTAATAATCTTTCTTGGGAAGAAAAGTTTGATTTAGATGTACAATATGTTGAAAAACAATCAACGCTTCTCGATTTTAAAATTATGTTTAAAACTGTTGTCGTTATGTTTAAAAAAGAAGGTATAGATTCACCAGATCAAGCTGTTGGGGCAAGTCGTTTCTCAGGCTCTGAACCTACCGATACCAAATCTACCAATCATTAATAGTGTTAAAGTAAATCATGATCAAAAAAGCCATTCTTCCAGTTGCTGGTTTAGGCACACGTTTTTTACCTGCAAGTAAGTCAATCCCTAAAGAAATGGTGACTGTTGTAGATCGGCCTGCAATTGAGTATGTTGTTAAAGAAGCTGTAGCGGCCGGAATTGAGCAAATTATTTTAGTGACGCATTCTTCAAAAGCATCTATTGAAAATTATTTTGATCGTAATTTTGAACTGGAAACCACATTAGAAAATAAGAAGAAAATTGATCTACTCAAAGAAATTACTGAAATTTTACCAAAACATGTCAGTGTGGTGAGTGTACGTCAACCTCAGCCATTGGGTTTAGGGCATGCTGTTTTATGTGCGAAATCTGTGATTGGAAATGATGACTTCGCTGTATTATTGCCAGATGTTTTGGTGAAAGAAAATAGTACAGAAAATGATTTAGCGCGAATGATTCATCGGTTTAATACATCTAAAGCATCACAAATTATGGTAGAGGCTGTGCCTGATCATCTTGTGGATCAATATGGTATTGTGGATGTTGCATCTTCACCTGTTGAAGGTGAAAGTATGGTGATGAAAGGGATTGTCGAAAAGCCTGCAGTCGGTAGTGCACCTTCAAATTTATCTGTAGTCGGGCGTTATGTGCTTCCTGCTAAAATTATGCAATTATTAGAACAGACACCTAAAGGTTCTGGCAATGAAATCCAATTGACGGATGCTATTGCTGCATTACAAAAATTAGAAAATGTCGAAGCGTATCGTATGAAAGGTCAGACCTTCGACTGTGGTAGTAAAATTGGTTATTTAAAAGCAGTATTACACTATGCTGTGGAGCATCCTAAGTTGGGTGAAGAATTCAAACAGCTTATCAAAGAATTGAATTTATAATAATTGGATCTGATATGAATATTTGTGTATTTGGCACAACACTCCAAGCTGGCGTACTCGCTGGCTTGTTTGCTGAATATGGGCACCATGTTTATTGGTGTCCCCAAGTAGGTGCTGATGATCAATCCTCAGTACACTATCAAGATCAAGATTTAAATCAACTCATTCAAAAACAGATTAAGAATAATTCAATTCAATTGGTCGGGTTAAAACAGCTTCAATTGCAAAGTGAAGTGTTTTTATTTAGTTTTAATCCTTCTGAATTTGATCAAGCCAAGCACTTGGCTGAACAATTAAAACATTTTCCTATTATTCATCCGAGGCTGATGATCAATGGTTCTACATTCGGTTTACAAGGAACTGAAGAACTAAAACAAATTTTAGTGGCTGATTATTGGGCGTATTTGCCAGACACCATTCAAGAAGGTAATGCGATTCAAAGTTTTATCGACCTAAAGCAGGTGATTGTAGGAGTAGATCAATCTGCGACACAGCAGATTATCAAAGAATTATTAAGACCTTTTTTTCAGTTAAAACATCAATATTTGTTTATGCCATTTTTAGATGCTGAATTTACCAAGCTGAGTATTTCAGGTATGTTGGCAACACGCATCAGTTATATGAATGATATGGCGCAAGTCGCTGAAAAATTAAATATTGATATTCATAATGTTAAACAGGGATTAGCATCTGATAGTCGAATTGGCGCATCATATTTATCTGCAGGTGTGGGTTTTGGTGGGGAAAATTTCTCGCATGATATTTTAACCTTAACAGGTACAGTGGCAGGTTCAGGGATCAAAAGCCAATTGCTGGATCAGGTTTGGAATATCAATGAACAACAGAAAGAAATTTTATTTAGAAAACTGTGGAATTACTATCAAGGGCAGTTAACAGGTAAAGTTGTGGCGATTTGGGGTGCTTCTTTTAAAGAAAATACCTCGAGTATTGAGAACTCACCAATTCATGCCATGCTTGCAGCGCTTTGGGCACAAGGCGCAATTGTACAGTTGCATGATCCTCAGGCCTTAGAGCGGGTAGCAAATTTCTATGGCGAACGCGCTGATTTGATTTTATGTCATGATCAATACCAAGCCGTAGAAAATACACATGCATTGTGTTTATTAACGGCTTGGAAGCAATATTGGAGTCCTGATTATTCACAACTTTTACAGAAAATGGCCCATCCTTTGATTCTCGATGGTCGTAATATGTTAGATCCAGATTTCGTCAAAGCACAAGGTTTTGCTTATCAGGGTGTAGGGCGAGTATGACAAATTCTATATTAGACAATGACCAAAGAGAGCAGCATTTAGCACGATTGCAAAATCTTTCTGTAGAACAACAGCAATTGCGTTTAACTGATTTATTTGAACAAGATCCACAGCGTTTTGACAAGTTCTCAGTACATTTTAATCAACTGAGTTTTGATTATAGTAAACATCGCATTGACCAAAATGCATGTGATGCCTTGTTTAAATTTGCAGATTCAAAACAATTAACACAATGGATCAAACGTTTATTTACCGAAGAATCGATCAATTATACGGAAGACCGAGCAGCAATGCATTGGGCACTGCGCTTACCGAAACATGATCAAGATTATCCTGAACTGGCTGAATTGGTACATCAACAATTAGATCGCATGTATCAGCTTGTTGACAAAGTCCATGCAGGACAATGTCGTGGTTCTACAGGTGAAGTGATTCAAGATGTGGTCAATATCGGTGTGGGTGGTTCTGACTTGGGACCATTGATGGTTAGTCATGCATTATCAGACTATAAAGTCAGTACTGCTAAACCATTAAAAGTACATTTCGTTTCCACTATGGATGGTAGTCAGCTTTCTGATTTACTACATCAATTACGCCCTGAAACCACCTTATTTATTATTTCGTCCAAGTCTTTTGGAACCATTGATACTTTATCTAATGCTCAAACAGTTCGTCAGTGGTTAGAAAAAGATTTGGGTACGCAAAACAGTGTGATCCAACATCATTTTATTGGGGTTTCAACCAAACCTGAGAAAATGACAGAATGGGGAATCGCAGCAGAAAACCAGTTCTTACTTTGGGATTGGGTCGGTGGTCGTTACTCGTTGTGGTCATGTATTGGCTTACCGATTGCATTGCAGATTGGTGTTGATGGGTTTAAACAATTGCTCGCAGGCGCTTATGCGATTGATCAGCATTTCCAAAAAGCTTCATTTGAACAAAATATTCCTGTATTGATGGCTTTACTTGGAGTCTGGAATAATAATTTTTTAAATATTCAGACCCATGCAGTATTGCCTTATGATGGACGTCTCAAATATTTTGCTTCTTATTTACAGCAACTTGAGATGGAATCGAATGGAAAGTCGATTCAAAGAAATAATCAAAAAGTTGATTTAAACACCTGCCCAATTGTCTGGGGCGAAGTGGGCCCAAATGCGCAACATGCTTTTTATCAGCTTTTGCATCAAGGAACTCATGCAGTGAGTTGTGATTTTATTGCGCCGGTGCAGCGTTATAATTCGAATCAATTTACCTATGCAGAAAGTGCAGAATCTTTAATTGAGCAACATCATTTGGCTTTATCCAATTGCTTGGCGCAGTCGCGATTATTGGCTTTTGGTAACACAGCATTAAATGCCCATGAATTATCTGGCTTACCTGTATATAAACAGTATGAAGGCAATCAACCAAGCTCAACGCTATTGTTGCAAGAACTGAGCCCTTATAGTTTAGGGATGCTGATTGCCTTGTATGAACATAAAGTGTTTGTGCAATCTGTCATTTGGAATATTAATCCATTTGATCAATGGGGCGTTGAAAAAGGCAAAGAAATTGCCAATCAATTACTCCCTATCCTCAATGGTAAAGAAAAAGATGTGTCTCAACTGGATGCTTCAACACAAGGTTTAATTAAGATCTTGCTGGGTAAAGAGTAGATATACTGGAAAAATTTATGGCAAATATTTTAGTAACAGGTGGTGCTGGTTATATTGGATCACATACCTGTGTGGAGTTACTTGAGGCTGGGCATGAGGTTATTGTTCTAGACAATCTATCAAATAGCTCTGAAGAATCATTAAAACGTGTCCAAGAATTGACTGGAAAAACACTGAAATTTGTTCAAGGTGACATTCGTTATCAAAATGATTTAGATCAAGTTTTTTCAAACAATAAAATCGATGCTGTGATTCATTTTGCAGGTTTAAAAGCAGTGGGGGAAAGCCAACAAATTCCACTGACTTACTTTGATCATAATATTGCGGGATCTGTACAGTTAGCACAAGCGATGCAAAGAGCGGGTGTCTTTAATTTAGTTTTTAGCTCGTCTGCAACTGTATATGATGAAGCGAATATTTCACCTTTAGATGAAAATATGCCAACAGGTATGCCTTCAAATAACTATGGTTATACCAAGTTAATTGTTGAGCAATTGTTGGAAAAGCTATCAATTGCGGATGAGCGTTGGTCGATTGCACTCTTGCGTTATTTTAATCCTGTTGGTGCGCATAAGAGTGGTCGTATTGGTGAAGACCCACAAGGTATTCCAAATAATTTAATGCCTTATGTCACTCAAGTTGCTGTTGGGCGTCGTGATAAACTTTCGATTTATGGTGATGATTACGACACTGTAGATGGTACAGGGGTACGTGACTATATCCATGTGGTTGATTTAGCCAATGCGCATTTATGTGCTTTAAACAACCGTTTAGCTGCTCAAGGTTGCCGTGCTTGGAACATTGGTACAGGAAATGGTTCATCTGTACTTGAAGTGAAGAACACTTTCGAACAGGTAAATGGGGTTTCTGTTGCATATGAAATTGCACCGCGTCGTTCGGGAGATGTAGCAACCTCATTTGCAAATAATGTACGTGCAATTAAAGAATTAGGTTGGACGCCAAAATATACTTTGGAAGATATGTTGGCAGATAGTTGGAATTGGCAAAAGCAAAATCCAACAGGCTATCAAGCATAAATTTAACTGTAAAAATAGGCGCATTAAGCGCCTATTTTTATCGCCATTTAAAACTAACCCTGAATCAACTGAGTTAACTCATCTACATAGTCTTGCATTGGTTTTGGATTTTTATCTGTACGGCTTTCAATATTTAAGCGTAATAAGGGTTCCGTATTGGATGCACGAACATTTAAACGCCATGCACCAAAATCAAGGCTAACACCATCTGTTTGATCAATTGCAGAGTTTAAATCGGCAAAATGATCGAAGATTTTTTGAATGGTTTTTTGCGTATCTTCAACTTTAAAGTTGATTTCACCGCTACACGGGAAACGCTCAATCATCCCTTCGACCAGGCTGGATAACGATTGTTGAGTTTCTGATACCACTAAAATCGCCAATAACCAAGGGATCATTCCGCTGTCACAGTAAGCAAAATCACGGAAATAGTGATGTGCACTCATCTCTCCGCCATAAGCTGCATTGTGTTCACGCATCACATCTTTAATAAAAGCATGTCCAGATTTGGATTGAACGGCAATCCCTTGATATTGCTCAATGATATCCAGTGTATTCCAGACTAGGCGAGGATCATGTACGATTTTTTCACCTGCTTGTTTTAACAAGAAGGCTTGGGCTAATAATCCAACAATATAATAACCTTCAATAAATTGACCCTTTTCGTCGAATAAGAAACAACGGTCAAAGTCACCATCCCACGCAATCCCCATATCCGCATGATGTATTAAAACTGCATTGCGGGTGCTATCTCGATTTTCCACTAAGATCGGATTAGGAATACCATTTGGGAAAGTACCATCTGGATGATTATGGATTTTAATAAATTCTACTGGGATATTGAGCGCCTTGAATTTTTCTTCGATTGCATCAACAACATGACCAGCTGCACCATTGCCCGCATTCATCACCAGTTTAAGCGGGCGGATTTTGCTCGGGTCAATATAGGTGAGTAGGTGTTCAATAAATTCAGGGAGGATATTATATTTTTGAGTTGTACCCTTTTTCTCAACTTCAATGAACTGTTCAGATTCAGCCAACGATTGGATATCTTTTAGTCCTGTATCTGCACTGATTGGTCGAGCATTTTCACGAACCAATTTCATGCCATTGTAATCCATTGGATTATGGCTTGCTGTGATTTCAATACCACCCTGAACGTCGAGATGAAAAGCAGCAAAGTAAACTTCTTCTGTTCCCGTCATGCCAAGATCAAGAACATCTACCCCAGCATCATTTAAACCACGAATCGTTGCTTGTTTTAAGTCTTCGCTGGTTAAACGGACATCACAACCAATGACAACAGTTTTTGGTTGATAGATTTGACCATAAGCACGGCCTACTTTATAAGCGATTTCTTCATTTAGCTCTGTGCCAAGTTTGCCTCGAATATCATAGGCTTTGAAACAAGTCAGTTTAGTCATGTTCATCTTTATATTGTTTAAGGTTGGCTGGTAGTGAAACATCATTTTAACCTTAAAGTGTATAAGAAATTATGTTGGAAGATGTAAATATAGTTTGAAGAATAAAATTGAATACGTTTCGATTACACCAAGCTTATTTTTAATAATGTATTGGATCATCGGTCATGATTTGCATATTGTGGATTTACAGCTTTTGAGATGATCTATGTGGAATTTTATAATTCATGTGATAATAGTCACATTTTTTCATTGTTAGTATTTGAATTTAAAATATTTTATTAAAGAAATTTAACTTTAAAAAGTAAAAATAAGCATTTGATTAGGTTTTATAATGTGTAGAATAGAAATGAGGTAGGGAAATAATTCAAAATAATTCAATACCGATAATTAAAAGCTTTTCTAGGTGCCATTCGCGAATGTTAATAGCAAAAAAGCCCACTATATTGTTAAAAAGTTTGAGTGCTGTGAGTTTATTGGTTCTATTGCAGAACAATGGTTATACACAAGAAACAAGCTACTTAAAAAATATCAAAGAAGGTGTGACCGGGTTTATAAAACCCAAGGATGATCAGTCATTTAGAACCGTCCAGCTCAAGGATTTGACTGATTTTAAATATCAACCCGATGCTCATATAGGCAATCAGAATCGACTCCCTGTTGTAAAGCCATATACTGGACAAAAGGCTTCACTCAATAATTTATATTTAGAACAAGCGCAAAAACAAACAACCAATACGTATTCAAACCAGGCAAAAATCTTAAGTCTTGAAGATGCGATTCAAATTGCAGTAAAAAGAAACCCCAATATTGCTCAAACGATTTCGACATTGGCAGGACAAAATGCCAATATTGATGTGGCAAAAGCGCAATATTACCCACAGTTAAAAGCGGGTATGAATACAGGTGATTTTACCTCCAATGATAAAGGTCGCCAATTGTATTCAGTTGAAGCCAACCAACTGCTTTATGACTTTGGTAAAGTAAAATCCAGTGTCACCACGCAACAAAATAAATTGGCAGTTGAACAAGCCAATGTATTAATCAGTATTGATGATATATCGACCCAAACCGCACGAGATATTTTATCCTTACTGCGCTATCGCAATATTATCAAAATAGCGCAAGATCAATTTAATGGGGTCAGTCGTTTACATGAGATTGCACGCTTAAGAGCAGACGCAGGAATCAGTAGCAATGCCGATCCAGTACAAGCACAAAGTTATGTTGAATACGCACGTTCCTACTTAATTACTCAGCAAAACTTTTTAAAACAACAAGAACAAAAATTACGCACATTATTGGGTTTTGATGTGAGTCAAATGGATTTTAATATTCCTGATGAGTTTGTAAAACAATCAGGTCTTTATGATGACCCTGAAATGAATACCATTCCTACAATGATCGCAGCAAAAGCAGAGATTGATGTTGCGCAGAGTCAGAAAAAACAAACCCAATTGAGTGCTTATCCAACGATTTCATTGGTGGGATCAGTCAGTAAAGCATTGAATGGTCAAAATCCAAATACTGGTTTAGAAAATGATACCGATGGTTCTGTTGGCGTGCAGATGTCCAGTAATTTTTATCAAGGTGGTGCACTGGGATCTCAAGTCAAGGCTGCAAATTTTGCTGAACAAGCTGCACGAGCAAAGTTAAATGCAACTTACCTAGACATTATGGATCAAACACAAATTGCACGAGAAAGTATTGAAAACACAGATAAGCAAATTTGGGTTCTATTGGATCGGGAGCGCTCAACAGCAAAAACCCGTGAGCTGTATGAAGAACAATATAAATTAGGCAAGCGTTCGATCTTAGATTTATTAAGTTCAGAACAATCCTATCAAAGTTCAAGAATAGAAAGGGAAGCGGCACGCTTTGATATCTATGACACGATCGCGGTGTATATCAAGGTAACCGGCAAAAGTAGAAATGCTTATCATTTAAATAACATTCAAATTCAGGGGTTTGAAGTTCAACCATGAATACAAAAACATTAAATTATCAACCCTGGTTACAAGCGATCATTACGGTTGCGCAGCATTATCGAATGCAACCTGCTGAAGAACAAATTCGTCTGCAACTGGATTGGAATAAATACACAAATATTGACGACATGTTGTCCATTATTACCCGTCAAGTGGGTTTGAATGTTCGCAAAGCAGACTTTAGCACGGATGTACTGAATCCATGGCGATTGCCCGTTGTTGTTGAATTTAACAATGGTCAAGTTGCAGTTATCGAGAAAGTCGACAATGAGGGCAATGCAAGCTTACAGTTAAGTGGTGATCAAGGTCTTTCACAAACTTTTAATTTGCATGAACTTCAAGCCAATGCCAGTCGCGTTTATATTTTCCGACCAGAAACATCGATTCCCGATGCGCGTGTTGATGAATATATCAAACCTTATGAAAAAAGCTGGTTCTGGGACATCGTTTTAAAAGATTGGAAACGTTATACCGACATCATGGTTGCTTCAATGATTGCCAATATTCTGGCATTGGCGACCATTATTTTCTCTATGCAAGTCTATGACCGAGTGGTGCCATCTCAATCTATTCCAACCTTGTGGGTGCTCGCGGGTGGGGTGTTGATTGCAGCTGTTTTTGAGTTTGTGTTGCGCATTGCACGGGTTTATTTGTCAGACATTATTGGTAAACGCGCAGATCTCAAGATTTCAGACCGCGTCTTTGGTCATGCACTGCATATCCGTAATAAAGATCGCGCACGTTCAACAGGTTCGTTTATCTCACAGATTCGTGAACTTGAAGGTGTTCGTGAATTGGTGACCTCAACAACGATCAGTGCAATTGCAGACTTACCGTTTTTCTTCCTGTTTTTAGTGATCTTCTGGATTATCGGGGGCAACATCTTTTGGGTGATGTTACTGGTTGTGCCATTGATGATTATTCCTGGCTTCTTGGTACAGAAAAAGTTGGCTCAGTTGGCCACTGAAGGGATGCGTGAGTCTGCGATTCGCAACGCGATTTTGGTCGAAGCAGTTCAAGGTATTGAGGATATCAAGTTATTACGTGCTGAAGCCAGATTTCAAAATCAATGGAATCACATGAATGAAGTGTCTGCAGATGTCAGCATGCGGCAACGTAAAATTGTGGGTTGGTTAAATGCTTGGACACAAAAAATTCAAGGACTGACCTATGCAATTGTGGTTTTAGTGGGTTGTTTTGCGGTGATGAAAGGTGATATGACCACGGGGGCTTTGGTGGCGTGTTCGATTTTATCTTCACGTATGCTTGCACCGATTTCACAAGTTACAGGTGTACTCGGTCGTTGGCAGCAAGCCAAAGTGGCTAAAAATGGTTTAGATGAGCTAATGCAAAAGCCGGTAGACCGTCCTGATCGGGCACAATTGATTCAGCGTAAAGTCCTCTCCGGTGATTATGATTTTAAAGGTGTGGTATTTAAATATACCGAAGATGATCCACGCCCAACTTTAGTCATTCCACAGTTAAAAATCCATGCAGGTGAAAAAGTTGCAATTCTTGGACGCAATGGCGCAGGAAAATCCAGCTTATTACAATTACTTTCAGGAATGCAATTGCCAGTACAAGGCAAGAT